CCCCCCCCGATCGAATTGCATTCTCATGTGGCGATTGTGTCGTGTGACGACTCTCCCATTGTTCGCGCGTCGATAATCTCCGCGGTGAAAAACGAAAAAAAAACACGCCAATAATTATCGTTAACACACCGACGCTAATAACGTGTTCGTTCGTGGCTCGTCTGCAAACGTTCTCGCACGCGTCATGTGAAACGACAAATGCGTAACAATAACAACATACGCGCCCGCTCTCTCTCTCTCTCTCTCTTTCTCTCTCGTACACACGGATCGCCGATTTCATTTGTTTCGCACGTCATTTTAAAAAAACTCGACGCGAAATCGCCAATTATTTCGTTCGCGTTCGCTAACCAATCGCGGACGAACGACGAACTTTGGTGATGGGTTGCCGGTGCTCTCTTCCTTCCCCCCCTCTCCCTATTTTCTCTCCGTCTCTGTCTCTCTTTCTTTCTCTCTCTCTCTCTTTTTTAATTCGTTGCAATCGCTGAACTCGTTCCGCTCGTCGCTGGCCACGTCGAATCGTTCGATAAATATTTGACAAACGAATGAACGAAATAAAACGGCATACGGACTTGAACTCGTGGACTCGCGCGACTCCAAAACGCCATCCTGTGGTGGCAAAACGAAAAATAAACGAAATGATAATGCCGGTGAAACACACGTGACGCGTATACATGCATACGTGCACACACAAACACGTCATCGCCGACGGGTGGCGACCTGACACAACGCGCGCGCACCTCTTCTCCGCTTTATCACGTACTTCGGTTCGATTCGTTGATTGATTTCTTCCTCTATTTTTTTTTTTCTACCGTCCCCCATTTCGCCTCCACTTCACGGGCTTCATCGTTCCTGTGCCATGCATATATCTACATATAATCACCCGATTCCGACGTATATACATATATTATGTATCGATCATAATGAATATTCTTGAAACGCGCTGGCTTTGGTATGTGTGCACCGCCGTCGTCGCATTATTCCGACGCCTTCCCTATCATCATCATCATCATCATCAACATCATCATCATCATCACCCGTGGACAAAAAATCGAAACGGGGAAATAAAACTGACATATCCGTGCGGCACACCCATGGTACATGCGTCGTCGTTCGCCGAATCAAAAATGTATAATAATGCGTGCGAACATGCGTGCGTCCCCCTCTACGTGGCAACCAATGTACCGAAATTTTTCCCCTCTCTCCTTCTCTCTTTCTCTATCTATTCATCTATATACCTATCTCTCCCCCTCTATCTCTGTCACTCTGTCTCTGTCTCTCCGTTCGTACGACCGTGCGCGTAAACGAACCCGCGGGGGAAAAAAATAAATAAAATACGAAACGAAACACGCGCGGACGCGACGTCAAGCCGACGATTTACACTTTCGTTTTCCGTAATTTACGCTTTCATTTTTTTCCGCGCTCTTTCACGCGCGCGCGTTCGCCACTCCGCGTCCCGGCATGTTCCCGCGCGCGCATTAATCGGAACGACGAACGATTGCGACTGCAATTTAACCAACGACTCATCATGTTCCTTTATGGAGTGCTTGATTCGAAAAAAAAAAAAACGAAAAAAAAAACGATAACAATAACAACGATGATAAAACGAAACGAACGATGCGCATTAAAAATTAAAAAAAAAAAACCAAACGATGTGTAAAACAAATTCGATTTCACACTGTCGTACATGTACCTGGATGCTCCGAGGGCACGCTCCACCGCGTGTCTCCTTTGATCTGGTGCCTTCTCCACCGAATTCAACCGACTGTGGTAATGAACGACCACCAAAAAAAAAAAATACTACCGATACTTGAAAAAAAAACCGTACGAACACTGCCTCGTTTGCTGCATGTGGATCGCCTTAGCAGCCTTAGCCACTGTCGGGGCCCAAGTGGTCCCCCAAAACGCTCACTGTGTCGTCTACACAGACAGCTGCGGACAGGTAGACTCATTATTGTAACCAGTTTTTTATCCGGTCTCGAGTTTGCATCAGAAGCGCCGGTCGAGCGGGACCGGTCGAGAGGAAGTTTTAGTGTGCACGCGCGAACCCGTCGCGCCGGGGCCCGACTCTGCTCGACTTTCGATTTCCCGAAGACCCTGCAGGATCGTAGACAGGTGTTATTTGGTTTACCTGGGTCGAGATTCGGGAAATCGGTCTTCCTCATTCCCGCATTCTGTTCTCCGTGAGAAGATTGCGCGAATGACGAATTTTACGCGCTTTACTCACAACTCACTCGTCTGTCTCTCTCTCTCTCTCTCTCTCTCTTTTTCTTTTTTCCTCTTTTTCCCTCCATTACGACTCCGGCTGATAATTCTCTCGGGCTCGAGAAACTAGAAGTCACGTGGCGCTCTGATGCAAGCTCGAACTTTTATTGCTGCTAACCTTCAAGGTTAACGGGGGAGAAGGATGTATCGGATATCGCTCCGCGGGTCTTCGGCTTCCTCGCTGCGCCTCAGACAGCGAGGAAATTGCTCGATTGTGTTGCGATCGAGCGAAAAGAGCGAGCCGTTCGGTAATCTGCATCTCTCGGTAACTTTGGCTAACACGTAGCTTTTGGGGGCATCTCCCTCACGACTGCTCACCGCAACTATAACTGCGAATAACCACTGCCTTATCTGGTGTTTGTCTATTATTATTATACCAATAATTATTATTATGCTATTTCGAAAGCGTTGTCGTCACCTCCGCCCCCACCCCAGCCCTCAGCCCCCAGCCCCCTCACACGTTACATACAGAGATACGATACAGGAACATGCATAGAGAAACATACACACGACGTACACGTAGATACACACTCGCCATACATGTACATCACGTCAACAAACTTGTTCACGAAGAAAGAGATGCACGCTTCTTATACAGTAATTAGTATGATTAGTACTTTTGCCATGTATCTATATATATATATTATATACATATACACATATATATTATTATATCTATCATGCCATTGTCTTGAACCGCTTGTCTGATTAACGTTGCGCGTTATTTGTGGATGAGGATATATTGTCGGGATGTCTTTTAAACATTTCTTTGTATACGTTACGACTGAATCTAATGCTACGTCTGAGAGCAACTTCCATCCTTGTACCGCTTCAGTATCTATATTTGTTTATTTTTTTTTTTTTACTCTCGCAGTGCATCTTACCGCAAGTAGCAATTACGATATGGACGAGCTGTTACGAGTGTCGGGCGTGTATACTGCATGTTCATTAATATTACACCGCTGTTGACACGAAGGGAGCGCGTGTCATGCAACCAGGGAGCACGAACCGCACTTTCGAATCGAACGAGGATTCTCGAAACGCAATTTTTCTCTCGCGTCTCTTTTTCGCTCGCATTTACGACGACGGCCGATTCGTCGCGTGAATTTACGGATCGCGTCGCTCCGCTGCGGACTGTTCTCGTCGGATGAAATATTATTCGGGATATTATCATGCGCAAGTTTGAAAAATTCTCCCGCTTTCTTATCGGGCGTTTTGATCGTTTTCACGTAAAAGTCATCCGACCGGCGAGATCGCGTAGGGGCGAAACTTTCGACAATCGTTTCATCTCCCTTCTTTCTCAAAACGCAATTACGGTAACTACCCTGGTTGGCATCGCATGCATCGCGTTGATTTTCACATTACACGATTCGCGCGGTACCGCTCGCCGCCGTGTAACTCGAGCACGTCGCGTGCGCGGAAGTTCGTCGAGTCGCGCGTTTCGAAAACTCGAGTGGAAAAAAGAAGAGAAGAAAAATTCGGTAGGTGATTTTCTCGCCGACGAGGCTGTCCGCATTTTCACCGGGCCAATGACAATGGCGTGATGTACGATACGTAGACTCTCAGAGTGCCGCGTGTGGAAAAAGAAATAAGAAAACCGCGGGAACGTATTTTTCGCGACGGGGTTACACATCGAACGCCGAACGTTCTTTCACTTAGGACGTTCGTGCGCGCGCGCGCGCGCGCGCGAGAGAATATCACGAGTTCGCGCTCTTCGCCTTCTGAGTTAACACGTAGCCGTGAAAGATGTAACGTTGCTCCGGAGGATCGACGCGAGCCGACAAATTCGAGCGGTTGCAATTCACGACGAATCGCGTGGAAAATCACACACGGAAAAAAATTAATATCGAGATTCAAGACTCATATTCTCGTATGTAAACACAAAAATATATAATCGCATATGAGGGTAAAACTTGCTTATATAAAAATATTCTATATAATTCCACTAAAATATTATATTCATTTTATTCAATGGAAATTTTCATGAATTAAAAGGAGGAAATATTGAATGGGAAGAACGATATCTTCGAACTAAGAATTATATCATTTTAAAGATATCGTTCTTTCTACCCAATTTTCTCCTTTCATACTAAGAATGTGCGTTTTTAGCGAAACTATAGAAAATTGTTTCGTGTAAGAAAGTTTTATTTCTTGTAGGTTCACATATTTCTGCTGATATATTAGAATATGAGTCTCGAATTGATATACATTTTTTTTCTATATATACTCGACCATCTCTCTCTCTCTTTCTCTCTAGAGAGAGAGAGAGAGAGAATTAGCATCCCCGACACGATTCAGAACAAAGGTACACGCAGCTTCCGATCGAAACGCTCGTTTCCGCTTACCTTGGTCGAACAGAGAAGAAGCGACACGGAGTGTCTTCCTTTGCGCTTGCACCGATCGCTTTCGACGCAATTAACTTCCGAGTGCACGTGCGCGCGTTCCGAGTGAAGCGAAGCATACATAAATATAGAAATACATGAACACAGAATAGAAAGAAGCGCGAACGCGGGAGCTTGTCTCGTTAACTAGTTTCTGACGATATACGACTGCCCGAGCGTATTACGAAGCCAACGAATCATCACCATTTGACAAAGCTTTCCCCGCACGATGGACGATCGCGTCTGATCGGCGACGATCGTCGCGCGTTGTTCTCTCTGTCGAAACCAACCAAGTCTCTCTCACCTATATACATATTTGACCAGCTCTGTCGTTATGGTTGCGGAGTCGCAGTTGACATAGTGTTGAACTTATTTGCAGTAGAATATTATTAATTTGACGGCTTATATACGACATCCCACATCCATTATTATACGATATATTGCCGATAACCGCTGAACTATCCAAAACCCGTCCGCCTACCTCTTCATCCCTCTCTGCCNNCCCCGCCCCCTCTCGCCACCGCGGCCGCCCTCGTCACTTTGGTTCGCTGGCGTGGATCACCCGAGGACTCCTTTTTTTCCGTAGCTTTCCGTAGTGAGTGGATGTGTGTGTTTCGGTCCTGTAATTCACGCACGCGAACCAAGACCGACGGTGAGTCGGCTTTTGGCAGCACACTAACGCTTGGGTGATGACACTGTATTATCATCGCTGATACACGGGACCTTACGTCGTCATTTTCGCTGTCGTCGTCGCCGCCGTCGTCGTCGCGCCGTCGCCGCTGCCGCCGCCGCCGCCGTCGTCGTCGTCAAATAGAAATCGACGCTTCGGTCTATTAATCACACTTGACACGCGTACGATCGACTTTTCGAGTAACACCGATAATCACCCAAGCAAACGATCCCCCTTCTCCCGGGCCATTATTTGCATGACCAGACTCTGTGTTCGTAGCGAATTATCTCTTACGCAATTGCAAGAATTGTTTATTATAATATGGTTAATATATATTATGATTACATCACTTGTATTATTGGCGTTATCTCGTTATGATTATTACGATTATTATTATTATTGTTGTTGTTATTATTGCTATTAATGCTATTATGAGCGTTTACGTTTAAGTTTAAGAGAGATTCTTACTTTTGTGTTGTCGAGATAAAACCGAGTCATCACGGTCGTTATTACGTACGAATACGCGGGGCAATCCTTCGCCGTGATCGCCGCGAGTTAACACATACGCAGCTAAACTAGATATTGTTTTCTTATTATTACCTCGTCACGTTCCGTTACGCGAGACATTTTTCATATATTTTGCACGCTTCTATGGTGAGCCTATGGTATACTTTTTTGCGCGCGATGATACTTTGTTCCTCTTTGATTAATACGTATATATGATTTTCTTTTTGTTCAATTTTTTTTTTTTCCATATATCTGTCTGGTAGGTTGTTAATGCTTTGACCTAACGTTTTGCTAACACGAAAACCATTCTTTGGAATTTGATGTTTAATCTATTTTGCTGCATTTGTCTCTTATATATTTCGGATATATACGAATAATTCTCCTAGATACGAGTGTACGTGTGTGTTTCCGTGTGTGTGTACATATAATATGCATACATCTCTCTTGCCGATGGGTTAATATGAGCAGAAAAAAAAAAGAAAGGAAAAGAAAAGGAACGGACACAGTAGCGCTGTAGCTGGGTGGAGTTTTCCGCTTCACTTGGGTCCTCTATTCGTATTCTCTCGATGGCCAATGTTCTGCGGCTCGCATTTATGTCTCTCTCTATACTCCACATTTGCCGTTCGTTAACTGTGAAATTATATATGTATATACATGCATAATATCTGACGCGCGCGCGAAGTAGCAGAAGTATCATGGCCCCGCTCACGAGAAAAGCGGACTCTCCGACGCGAGACGGTTTTCTTGCTCTCACCGCGAGGGGGGTGATATATGCGTCCGGCGCGCCTTTTTTATCGCGCGAGCGGACGAACGCGCGCGTGTTTGCCGCGAATATGTGCGTACATATTATATATATACATACACACATCTACATGTAATTATCGCTCTTATCTCGCGAAACCGGGAGATTACGTTTGTAAGTCCGATCGTCCGGCTTCGTTCTCGATCGGAGACGAGGGGCGACGGAGAGAAAAAGAGAGCTTCAACGAGGCTCCCGTTGCCCGTTGCTTTCCCGGATTTTGTTAACACGAAAATTTCAGTCTAGTCATTGTGCTGAATGGCCCGCTGAGAAGAGGGCTTCCAAACCTGATTCGCAAATTCTACACGCGTTTGCGTATACCGTTCGTTCGGCGTTGAATACGTTGATCGTTTCGTAAAGACCGACGCGAGGATAGGCGCGAGAGAGAAAGTCGACGTTCGAACGTGTGCAATCACTATGCTGAATATTTTAGTCGGATCGTAGACTTTCGCACGCACGCGGCTCACCTTGTTGCACGGATTGCTCGGATGAAAATTTGCGAATCAAAAAGATCCTCGTTTCTATCAGTAGGCGTGCTCCTTGCACACAGTGTGTCCGGAATGTCGCGGAGACTAGCATAACGGAAGTGTCACACACGTAGCCGGCTCGCGTTTATGATAATTATTAATACGAATCCCCCTCGATTCTCGCCCAATCAAACACCAATTTTTTGCAAAATCCCGGCAAACCGCAAAATGTATCCATTCGATATACAGAACTAACACGATCAGAGACGCGGGGCTCGCTCGCAGTCTCGCAATCGGTCGGTTATTCTTTTTTAATTTTACACCACAATATATACATACCATAAATAGGAAATGCCCTGTTTGTGAAAACGAAAGTTCTACTGCAAATTTACCACCTAATTATACATGTGCGAACACTCGGCGCAACAACTCCGCTCGGGTTGCGATCGATTGGCTGCGACGCAAGCGAAGGACCGTCTACAATAGTCGTAAAGCAGACAGCAAGACGCAAATAGTAAGCCAATTGATCAACTATAGTCGCGATTATTCTTGGAATGTAAGAATCCAATTGGTCAATGGGCCAACTGTTTATCTCTTACCGCATACTTTACTGTTGCCGTTGTAGATGGTCCTTGACACTTTACCATCCGGGAGCCTATTAATAAGGCTTTCTACTGAGAACACCGGCAGGCAAAGTGTTAAGACGTCGCTCGTGAAATTATCCATCGTCACGAATCACGAATATATATCACCTCCAATCGCGCCGATTATTCGCACATAAGTAGCAATTAATTAATATACGAACCGATCTTCTAGAGCATGTAATGTACCGTGAATATGCTCTAACACTGGAGAATCTTGAGTGTGTATGGTCGCGCGAAAGTGTTCGATGTGTGGTGTGAGGATGCTCGAAAGTCCACCGCTGATGCCCGATAATAAACGAAGAACGCACCGTTTAACCGTTTTAAATAATTGATAATTGAACGAATTAACGCGTTTCGCGAGTTCGATATATTTCGCCGGGGAAAAGCGAACGCTTCGAATATAATTCGGGCAGCGGATGTACCTTCGAGCAAACCCAAACGAGAGCGAGATGGAAACGCGCGAGACACGGTTTACGTCCGCGTGCGTGAGTGCGTGGAGCGTGCGTGAGTGCGGTATGCGTGAACGCTCGCGAGTGTGCATGTGCGTGCGCGTGTCTGCAGTACCCATAAGTTTTCTCCCTCTTTTTTTTTTCTTTTTTGCAATTCGTATACCCCACGTCTCGATTTCACTCGCTATAAGAGTACCTGGCACATTTTCTTTCAGTTACTGGACACCCTCCCGGTGTGCCAAGATTTTAATCGACAAGTGTGCAACCGTCCCGCCTGCAAGTTTATCCATCTCAGTGACGGTGAGTTACTTGTGCGTTACCGGGCGAGAACGGGAGCAGAGGTTGATCGCGCACACCCGAATAGAGATGTGTTTATTCGGGCTGAGTCAAAAGCCAATAGCTAGCTAGTACTGGCCGAATGAAATTTTCTAGCTCGTTACTAGTTCGTTACTGGCTGATTATTCACCAAAATCTGTGGATTTTGTAATTCAGCTATTGTCTAGCCATTACTATACATCAAATACGATAGAATAAATGGCGCTATTTTTAAATATACAGGATGCCTCAGATCAACATGGATAAACTTAGTGAGGGCGTAGAACGAATTGAGGTGAATAAGGTTTAAAAAAAAGATAAGAAAGGTCCTTTATCATTTTGCAAATATGCAAAATTTATGCAAATTTTTAAGTTGTTAATTAAAGAAGCATCTTTTTACATGGCCATTTTCCATAATTAATAACTCGAAATTTTCCGTGTTGTTTGCAAAATAGTACAGGACTCTTTTGTTCACCTCCGTTTTATCCTTTCACGAAGTTTGTCCCTGTTGGTCCGAGACACCCTGTATAACCTAGCTACCAAATACCAGCCACTAGCATTTAAAAATGAGTTAGCAAATAAAAATTCGGAATACGTTATGGTACCATAAAAATCTGAACAAAAAAGCAGAAGCGCGCGTTATATTACGGTGTCTGGCAGCTAATTATAATTTTCTTATCTCGTAACTGTAATTTCGTTTTCTTAACCATCAGCTGACTTATTTATTCGGCCATTATCTCATCACAAGGAGAAAAGAGCGTTATATTACCGACTATTAGCGATGTTAAACACGAATTTACTATCACGCGGCCAGACACTCGCGAGATTTAATTTCTCCTAGGCAGCTGAAACGCGGTTGAAACAGGTGCTTTGAGTTTGAGCGTGCGAGATTGTGCCGCGGAAAAGGGGAAAGAGAAATGAAAAAAAAAGAACCCGCGGTCTCGTCGATCGCAATTCCGGCATTAAAAGATCGAAACGCGGGACCGTTCGCGATCGTCGTCGATTCAGTTGGTGCTGGAGGCGCGGCGAGAATACGAGAACCAATACCTCGTAGCGAACGTTCGGCCGTCCGATTGATATTCGCCGAGCGCCCGGGCGATTTTCAAATTTCTCTTCGGTCACGGATCAGTATCACGGAGTAACGAGGTTTCCGGTAAAATCGGCAGTTTCGCTGAAATAAGCGTATCACGAGCGACGGCAGAAATTCAGCTATTGAAATTCCTGCGCGACGGAACTAGCCTTCGCAGGCGGACAGACGTCGGCGATTATGGCCTTGTCTTTCATTCGTCGCTCGATTCCCCACGGGTCCGCCAATTCCGCGTGCGGGACGCGTCGCAATTACGCGCAATAAATCATTCGCGCGTGGTTTTATCGCTCTCCGAAAATCCGATTGTCGGTGCCCCACGACCCTTTTATTTCACCTTGTCTTGATCGTGGGGCCACGTCGCGCCGACGTCGTGTCGATCGCCTTCATTATCCCGCGACGCGTTTATTAAACGTCACCGTTACAACGCGGCGTTCTCGCTTTCACGTTTAGCGCGCGGCCGATCGCCGGCGCGGGTGTAACGAGAATTTCTCTTTTGTCGAGCCGACGTCAATTAGGTTTTACGCGCGATAATGAGCGATCGATGTTCCTCGAGACGCCTGTGAGAGGGTCTTAGCAGAATGGCTGACTCTTTTATTAGTTCAAGACAACGTTTCATGCCTGAGGTCTCTGCCCTGAGCAACGTACAATGACTGTCTTGTTCTGATGCCTTAAACCAAAAAGCTGTTTTGTATTTGTGATTGATGACTAACCGCCGTAAAATAAAGAAAAAGTAAAGTAATAGTAATTTAGACAAAGATTTAGGACATAGAACATTGTCTTAAAGAGGTTCCAGGCATTAAACGCCGTATTTCCAATGGCGCATCAAGCAGATCTTTCATAAATTTATTACTTATCAAGCAAAATTTCGTCTCTATACTTTTATTTCACTAAATAAAGAATAAATATTAATTTGAAACAAAGCTGAGGTAAATATATATACACAATATTACATATATATATATATATATATATAAACAATATTACAATTACGAAAATATTATTTTTTTATATTTCTCATTAATATGTGCTCTATTTATGCATCAATTGATCTAATAGAGATGCATAGATAATAGGAAGAAGTATATAAGTGTTTAAATATGTGCTTACATATATGTATCATGAATATTATTACAAATTATATAAATTTTCCATTACCGTATTTTCAAAACGAAACGGCCGATAATTCTGAAATTTTTCTTATAATATCCTACATCCTATTAGTCTTTAATATTACAATAGTTTATTTAAACTTCTCTTGCATACATATATAGCAAATTGGAATCCAATTGAAATAAATGCGGTGTATTATGAGGTTCCTGTGCTTGCACACATACATAAGTTTATAATTAAATATCTCGGAAGCGATATGGTAAAACGAGATGGTAAAGATTATGGAAATTTCTGTTACACTTTGTTCGACAAACTTTCGTATCATGTATATATAACAGATTTATCTTATATTTGGTACAACGCTCGAACTTCCTTAAGATTACAAATCAGCCATTTTGCTAAGGGCCTGAGAGAGCGAGAAAACGCTCCTTGGCCGGTCTCCGGTTGAAACAATTAACGACGCTCTTCATGTATCGATTGTGCGCGGACGCGCGCGCAATACGCAACTAGCAGCCGATGCGCTATTTGCGAAACGCCGCGAATTTGCATGAATTCCTTTCGGATGCCGCCGGGACGATCGGGAATATTTATGCGCCGCGCTGATATCCGATGAATGCCGCAATCAGCGTCAAGTTTTAACTCTTTACCGCACAGTCGAATAACTCGCGCCGTCGCAACGAGTTGGAGAATACTATTTTCACATGGAATGGGACTTCGCGCTCTGTACACAGCTCGCGCGTTTCAATTCATTTATATCCGCTACAATCGTCGCGTGTTTCTTCTCGTACGGTTCCTCTTTGGCTAAGAATTTGCTCAAATCCGCGGCTTTCGGACCCTTCAAAAATCAACGCCTCATTGAACTGATTATTTTTACAACATGAGAATTAAAACGTTCTCTCATATCTATTTTATATACGTTTGATTGCATAAGGTGTCCCAGAATCAACATGTGCCTTTAACATGACAGATTCTTTGGGACATTCCAAGACGAAAGTTTCGATAAAAAGTGAAAGTTTCAATTGTGTTTACTGTGCGAAAGAACTCATTCCCCAACTCTTCGGAGCCCTTTTTGATGTTGTAATCTTGTCGAGGGGAGGCATGTTGGTGATGCGCGCGATGATCGACTGACTCGATATCTCTGTAAATTTTCAGGAAACGTGGAGGTGATCGAGAACCGCGTAACGGTGTGCAGGGACGCAGTAAAGGGCGCGTGTATGCGGCCCCAGTGTAAATATTACCACATACCGGTCGCGTTGCCGCCGGCGCCTCTGATGGCGATCGCGTCGTCTGCGACGCCTTAGGGTCGATTCCGCCAGCGATTAACGCGCCGGCACCGCGCGGGGAGGCCGAGGAAGAAGGATTCGATAAAAGCTTGCGCGAACACGTATTCCCGCGCACGTCAGCTACGACGGCGAACAAAGCGAGAGCGGCGAGGAGGAAGAGGAGGAAGCCGGGCAAGATGAGGAAGAAGAGGAAGAAGAGAAGGAGGAGGAGGAGGAAGTGAAGGAAGAGGCGGCGCCGAGGGGACGAACGTCGTCCTCGCCGTCGTCGATTCGATCTAATCACAACAGCACGTCGATGTTCCTTCGCGACACTCGTGATGCACACGAATGTGCGAACGCACGTTCAGGCGAGAAACAACGTGTGGTGGGAGGGTAGGAAGGAAGGCAGGCAGGTGGAGAGATAGAGTTCCTGTCGCGCGGCCTCGGGAAAGGAAGGAAACGCGTCTTTCTTTCGTTTCATCGGCGGGAGAAACGGAGACCGCGATCGTGGAGATAAATATCGACGGGGCGGGGGAGATCGTCGCGTCGGCGCGCAAAGGGGGCAGTAATTGTCGAGAGAGTCGTCGCGAGGTACTCGTTGGGATCACACACAAAGCGAGCTAGCGAGCGAAGTCTTCCTTAAGAAGTTACCCTTTCGTTCTTTCGATCCGCATTTGGCTTCCCGCGACGAGACTCGTCGCGAACGGGCGAATCGCTCGAGACGACGCTCGCCGAGCTCCAGGATAAACTGGCAAGCCGCTCGGCCGTCTCTTAACTTCCACGGATTCCCTTCTCCCTCTCGTTGACCCGCTCATGAGGCGCGAAGGGATGTCGTACCGGCGAGGAAGGACGACGAAGGATTTTCATCCCCGTGAGCGGACGCGTCGTCGTCGGGACGATCGTTTCTTCTCGCGATCGAGCGGGCCGGCGAACGGTGATTCAGCGTCGACTTCCCCGTCGGCGCGCCGATGCCATCGTTTCCCGATCTCTTCAAGGCGGCTTCCTCGAGAGCGGCGGAGTGCAGAGCTGAAGAGATCCTTCATTCTCGCGCGATCCTGGACCTCCTGTTTATGTTATCTCGATGTCACACGGATGCCAACCAACTTCGCTTCACGGTCGGAAAGCGGGAGGAACGGAGCGTCGCGTGCGTGTAGTTGTAGAACAGCGCGGCTCTTCGTCATCGTCTCCGCATCGGAATGAAGTGTTCATTCCGTTTCGAATGATTCGATCGGTGAGATATTCGCGAGAAACTTCATATCTCGACTCGCCTGTCGCTCGAGGAGGCTGCGTTTTGTTTTCGCGTTCGCGATTTTCTTCCTTTTCCCGATTGGCCGTATGGCACGTCCTCGCTCGCCGTGACACGCGGTGCACGTTCGCGCAATGCAAGGCACGCTTGCGAGAGAATCCGTTGATAGCAAGGAAGGAAGCAAGAAAGAAAGAGAGAAAAAGAGTTTGAAATATTGTTCCATAAGGACGTATAAATATTATACATAATACATATATATATTCATGCCAGATTCTGTCATGAGAAAAGTTGTAATTGTACCGTATAAGTAGACTAGCTAGGGGCCGCGAATCAACGCGAGCGTACGAATGACTGATGGACGCTGATCTTGCAGGAGAAAGAGAAACGTAAAATATACAAAAGCGTAAACGACGATAAATATCACCGAGACGAGATGAGAGAAATAAAATTTACACGAGATATGATATAAAACGCGCGGCGACGCATAACGAACGTTTTTTATACTCGTATATAACAAATCTCAATTATATTTTGTTTTTATGATAATATATAATGTAAACGCGTGTGTGTATATACATACAGAGAAGAGACGTGTAATATATATATGCATGCATAAATATGTATATATATATATATATATTTATATGTGTATATATATATATATATATATGTATGTATGTATGTGTGCATATATACCTAAGGGTATAACGATTTCGCGCGAAGGGGAGCATAATAGTTATCGGCGGATTGATTGGCGACGATTAGGTGAGCGGAGCGGAGTAATGGTCTCGGAAATGGAACGTCGGAATGTCAGGAACTGTCGGAGCGATCGATCCCTCTCGTGCGAGAGGAATAGCGAGCCTTAAGACGAGGTTTACGGCGATTGTTTGACTCTCGACTGTCTCACTTTCGGTTCGCGAGGAACGGGCGAACGCCGAAAATCGTATATTCTACAGGCGGGGAAGAAAAGGGAGAAAGAGAGAGAGAGAGAGAGGCGCTATTTAATTATTACACACACACTACGACAAATGTGTATATGACAAATTTATATGCATACGATAAGAAATTATATTTAACTAAGGACAGACCTCTTTTGGGGGAGTAGGGAGTATAAACGAGAGCGATCGCGAGAGGAGGTATCGCGTGGTGAGTAATTCTCAGCGTGGTGAGAAAGAGAAAGATCCATCGAGAGAAAGAGAGAGAGAAAGAGAGAGAGAGAGAGAGAGAGAGAGAGAGAGACGAAAGGAATCGTTTTATATCTGCTCTTCGAGAGACAAACGAAAAACAAAAAACTATATAAAAGTGAAACAATCGATCCGCTGGATCGCGTGTATAGGTTTACACGATCGATAGGAAATAAGTTTGTACGTTGTTTCAGTCTTATAGTGCGATTCTTCGTAAGGATACTTTTAATTGTTGCGTTAACGATCCTTTATATATTAATCGATAATTACTCGTTTCACCCCCGTGGTAGATGTCGCGTGAAGGACCCCCCTCCATCGATCGAGTCTTTCGTTATTAAATGCATTCTTCATGCTGATTCTTTCGTGCGCGCCTAATCGCGTCTGCGGAAGCCCACCGTTGAGCAGCGCCGATTACGCGCGCACCCGGAGCACACGTCCGCGTGCGCTCATCTCCGCGAGCCATTTCTTTTTCATATAGCTGAAAATTCAAACGACACACGTTCACCTCGCGTCCAGAACACAGATGTTCCGAGCAGTATTTTCTTACGAGTTATATATACATTATACGCCGAAAATATTAACGTTAAGGCACACCCGCGGACCTGATTTTCTCGGGGGATGCCTCGAAGACTGGTCGCCCGCTCGAGAGAGTCCGCCCCCTCGCCGCGAGAGTCGCTCTCTCGCGGTGAGCCCGTGGAGTCTCCGGGTGTGCTCGAGGACCAGCGTGAGAGACCCTCGATTTCACCGCATACGCAGACACACACACGCGCACACACATACGAACACGTGGCGATTTTTGAAAGACACTTTTTACCGTCCAGGAGAGGCTTACACCAACTTTCCCGACCAACGACACGAGATTTACGGTCTATCGAGTTTTCGTACCGAGATATATACATATATATACCGCGAAATGAAAAATGCACTTTTGAACTAGTCATGATGATGGGTCCGGGTCCTTTCCGCATTCATTTATTATTATCTTTCTTTTTTCACTGTACTAAATGTATCTCGTATTATTCTCTTACGTTTTATTTGTCAAGTTCAGTTAACACATTAATCGTTACTAAAATCAATCACTTCGACGATAGTATAATTAATTATTTAAAAAGGAAAACGAACCCTTAGGTATATAACAAAGTACTCTAACGACAAAATAAGTATAGCCTACGGATATAAAGTAATAAATAATAAAAAAAAAACATTAAATGAGTGATTAAAGAGTTAAGCAAGTAAATGTTCCTGTACAGCATTTAAGAATCAAAGGACACTATTATCAAAGCAAAAGGAAAAAAAAACACAGATTATACACCTTTGGTATTAGAAGGGAAAGATCCGAGGCTGCCAGTAGGCGCGAATAGCTGGAAGTTCAACTTTGTAAATTACTCGTGTACATAAAAATAGTATTACTGCGTACTGAAGGAAGTAACTCGATTAGCGTTAGACACAGAATAAAAAAAGAGGAAAGAAACGTACTGAGGATTCTAGGATCGCGTCATCGAATTCGAGTTCGTTCGTTAAACGAATCCACGGACGAGCGGGAAGGAAGCGTTTTAATAGCCGCGCGCGCGTGTTACGTACAGTGAGTAATTCGTTTTGTAATTGACGTATCCTCTCCCTTGCGACGAGATAAATCCTAAATCTTGGTTCTCAGGATACGTTCGTCCTTTTCTTCGGTTTTTTTTTTCCAACCTGCTTTTCTCTCGAGACACCGTGGTTCTAGTCATAAGTTCGGGATCATTTGACTGTACCTTTCGTTCTCGTCGCTTCTGACATTCGTGAATCCGCGATTCGCACGTTCGTGACTTTCGTCCGCTTTTTCGTTCTCGGTACCGTTGGGTGCGCGCAAAAAAAGAAGAAACAACGCAAAACGCGATACCCACCAGAGGGATATGGAAAATTCATCGAGACGAACGGGAAAAAGACATACGGACGAGTTCCTCCGTGCCCCCACACACACACACACACACTTAGTATGTACATAGATTTAATTAATTAGGTGCGAATAGGAAGAAAAGAGAGAAGATACACGCGTTATATTATATATATAAAATTAAGTAATACAATAATCTATGAATGTCCATTTAAGTGATTCAATGACACCACGAAGAGGAGAGCGAGATATTTTCAATTGTGATTCCACACTTAGAATATATATATATATTCGAATACTTTTCCGTAGAGACCCCCCGGGGACCCGCGCCGCTCGTCCCCCCCCGCGGTCATTTCTTCTTCTTCTTCTTCGGTATCGGTATATAAAAGAAAACGAAAAAAAGAGTAAAAGCTGTAAAACTAGATCCGTTTATTATACACTACGTCTTCGTACGGAAAGACACCAAGAGCAGGAACGATATTCAGATTCGTCCCACTCGCTGCCAGCCGCTCAGCCTGTTTAGACGAGCAAAGTCCTTCGAGAAGTTATCGATAACTTCTCCTTTCGTGTCGTCTCGCGATGGTACGGTTCGTTAAAGCTCAGGTACGCCCTGATCCCGACGCGCTCGAGAACGAGAGAAACGACCGGGATGCCTTCGGCTTATTTTCGAACGGATTTTCCTCTCTGATATATCGCTATATAAACGATGAATTAGTTTTAGGTGATGAAGGAAAAACACAAAACGGTCACACATACAGACAACGCATCTAACGAGAGCGAAATCGACGTCGGACAGTACTACCCGTCTTTCCCTTTAATACCAAAACCTCTAGTAAATACACGACGCGTAAACGAATATTATAATTAACGATAATTATTGCGAACAAAACGAGAATAAAAAGAAAGAAAAGGAAAAACGGACAAAAACAAAGGAAGGAACGAAGCGCTACTCCGACTTATGGACGTAAATATACACCACGAGAGCCATTCTAAAAAAAGGAAAAAAGTGAAAACTCTTAAAAAACGAAGATGAAGAAAAGAAAGATACACACAAAAGGTAAAAACGGAAAAAAAAAGAAAACGGAAGACAATGAGAACACGATGAAAAACGTTGTGACGAATCCACTGGAGTTTGAGCTTCCCAACTTGAGTCAAGGGTTTTAGCTGCTGCAGCAAGCAATCACAAAGCAAAACAATTATTTGTAATCAACGTAGGAAAACGCAGCCGGCCGAATTCGCCGCCGCCGTCTCGCCGCGTGACGAACCGCCGCGCTCTCCCCTCGCGAGGGGACCGTTTGGTGGGGAACGTTTCGCACTTGTATTAGCGCGCGGCCGGCGTCGAATTCGGCGGGTGATTTATATATGCTGCCGCTTAAAAACGGAACGCTGCTTCGCATGGCCAACGACAGCTCGCTGGATCGCATGAGAAACGCGACCATTCGTAGACCAAAGGCCGGCACATTTTACGTCCGGACGTTAATTCTCAACTGGACTTCCGTTCGAGACCGAGATAATCAAGTGTGCGCATACGTAACTTCACGAACGTCGCTCCTCCTCGCGTTCCGAACGCTACGTTCCACGACGATGCGAGTCAGTCCCATTGAACGCGATCTCCTGGGAGCTGCGTGAATAAGAAAAGCAAAAGAAAAAAGAGAAGAAGATGAAAAAAAAGAAAACGGCCGGTACTCGATCCTTTTCTCATGCGTTCTATCGTACGTTGGCCGGATATGCTCGTGTGTACCTACCTAGCTTCTTGCGCGCTACGCATTTTTGACTCTGCTAGGAGAAGGAAACGAAAATGAGAAGGAGAGCGAGAGATAGAGAAGATGGTTGATTAGAGATCGGAGGGAGAGATATAGAGAGGGGCCAGTGTGGAACGATGCGAAACGCGAAGCGCGTTTTCGCTCCGCGGAGAAACCGGTCGGCGCGTCCGACTTATGGTCGCGATAGACGCGATTACTCGAACGAAAGAGGGAACGAATGCCCGAACGGACGAACGAACGAACGCTCGCTACGTTTCGGCGATTAATCCGCTTAATCGGATTGCACGATTACGCCGGCTGCGTGTCCGAAATTACGTGCACGGAGTTCCGACGGAGGGGGGGGAGGATTTACGGGGATATTATTCGTAAATGCAGCCGATCGCCGTCGGACCGTGAAACGTTTGGAGAAAACATCGAAGCGGAAGACAGAGAGCGCGCGCGCGTGCGGCGGTGGTATTTTCTCGAGGCATTTCACTCGCGGTACTCGCATGAATATTCGCGGGGGAAAGCGCCGAATTTCGGGCGAAAAATTTCAACGCGTTTCAACCGCGCGTCATCGAGCGTCCCGCTCGATATTTAACGGACAAAGGAATTTACAGAAGACTGATCGGAATGGAAGAGGGAGAGATATTTTTTTCC